CCTTTTCACACACAGAACCCCAAGGGCGGATCAGGGGGGTTGGGGGACCCCCCCCCGTCACCCTCAGGGCAGGGCTGATGGGGAGGTTGCGGCTCCACCCGTCACACACAGAGCCGCAGGGCAATCAGGGGATTGGGGAGCTCCCCCCTATCAGGCACAGAGCAGGGCTGATCAGGGGGTTGGGGTGCCTTCCCCTGTCACGAACAGAGCAGGGCGGATAGGGAGGTTGTGGCCCCGCCCCCTGTCACACACAGAGCCGCAGGGCGATCAGGGGTTTGGTCGCTGCCCCCTGTCACGCTGATCCCGGTGCTGGGAGGCATATTACCCTTTTACTATATAGAATAGAGGCCTGGTGCACAGGTCGGGGCCGGCTGGTTTACCCTGAAGGGTGTCCTGGTTCAGGGTGGGGGTCCCCACTGGGTGCCTGGCCAGCCTGGATGAGGGGCTGAGGGCCGTTTTCAGGCTGGTGGGTGACTGAAGCTCCCAACGTGTCCTTTTTTTCTTTTTTTTTTTATTCTGGGCCAGCTTTAGCTCTGAGGCTCGGCTCCAGCTCTCAGGCCTCGGCTGCTGAAAGCAGGTTTCTGGCCTTTGTTTACCTTCTGTATTTGAAACAATGTTGCGGTTCTGCTGGCTGAAGCCTGGCTGACTAAAGCAGGTTTCTGGGTTTGGTTTAGCTTCTATATTTGTTACAATGTTTCTTAGAGTTGCAGCTCAGAGGCCGGCAAGGCAGGCGGGGAAGCTTGGCTTGCTCCGTCACTGAAGCAAGCAAGCCTCCCTGTTCACGTCAGCTGCCTGGCTGCCGGCCGCCATCTTGGCTGGCAGTTAATTTGCATATCTCCCTGATTAGCCAATGGGAAGGGTAGAGGCCATATGGCTAATTACCATGTTTCTCTTTTATTAGATAGGATTCCATGTGACCAGATATATTTTCCTTGAAATGTTAGAATGCTTTAGTGTTATTCTATTATTGCTTCCCTGTTTCATAGAACTGCACTAATTTCTCCCATTTTTAGTAGCATAAAGAGAGAGATGTTGAATAGATAGGGCAGGAAAGAAATGAAAACTTGTATTCCATAATATTATCAAACCAATATTATAACATTCTAAATACTATTCCAGAAAAAGAACAGAGGCCATGTTTAAAGAATCAAGACTGGTCACTCAACCTCTGTGGGTTCTAAGGACCATAAATTTACCTTAATCCACAAATCTAACCAGTTACCAGACTACATTTTGGCACAGGTTTTTAGCTGTGTCAATACATATGCAGTAGGTGACTTTCCCTCTAACATAAGCAATATGTAACTGGATCATTTTAAAATTAAAAAAAAAAACAACGTGTATTTTAAAATAACAGTAAAAAACTTATAAGATATAATTATTGCATTATAACATACTTACATAATATACTTTTATATTATATAATAATATACATTTGATGGATATACAGTTTATTATTCTACTCTTTATCTTGTTCTTCAAATATGCCTGGAAAAGAATTTTAGACAAATTTATAAGTGGAAAAATTTAAATGTTCCATTACTTGACAGTATTGGAAAATGTGTGTTTGGTTATTATGGAAAAGCAAATTAAAAGTTCTCTGAATAACTACCTAAGTTTTTAAGTCACTCGGTTTCCTAGCTATTTCAATGGAATCGACAGTCATAGATCCAACCCCAACTACAAGATTGGACCGTCGTAATGATAGTTCCAAGGCAGAAATCTGACGTAACTCTTTGCGACACAACTTTACAGGCATGACACCATGAAGCTGTCCCACATTTCCCATTGGCTGAATTTGAGGTGATGGTTGACTGTGAGATTTTCTAAACTGATTTTCATCTATTTCTGTTTTATCCTTGTCGCTTAACAAATGTCCACTAGTGGGTGCTAAAGAGCTATAAATTGGAGGTAATTCGGGGCCATTTTCCCAGAGCTTCTGAGAATTTGGTTGTGTTCTTAAACTGCTTGCTGAACTGTCTAATTCTCTTTCCCTTCCACTTAATTT